GCTATAGAAATAAACTGAATTGAAATATTTACAGCTTTAGACAAAAAAGCTCAATAACATGTTTGAGTTTTGCAGATGCTCCCTCTCCTCTCTGTGTAGATGCTTCTTCTCTCTTCCCCACCAGCAGCTTTTTATTTCTTCACCAGAACTCGTCTTTAAAGATGCAGGATGTTGGAGGCGCTGAGGCAACGTCAGAGAAAACAAAACTGCTCTGTGATTTCAGCTTCACTCGCTCCAGGCGTATTTCACAGCACCGAGCAAACTGTAGCAGAACAACAAATCACTCCAGTGTGTTTCATACCATCCTGGATCCACAGGCTGGAGAAACAATCCAGCATCTTTAGAATTAATTAAGGATTTTATTAATTTTTTGCGCTCCAGGTATATCAATATCCATTTAAATATGCACCAGTTCTTCAGGGTCTTGGCTGTTTTTGTAAAGAAGTGACAAATTTCCCTTCAATGTTGGTGGAAATAATCAAACACATGTCACCAGTTACATGTAAACTAAAATGTCGTACTGTTTACTGAAAATGTAATTCTGTCTTATTTTTTAAAACAATTTTAAAACACAACAATCTGACTCCAAACCAACATTTTTCATTAATGATTTAAGTCTGACAAGATAGGTGTTTCCTTTTGTTTTTGTTTTTTTTGGTGTGGCAACACTGCCCTCTGGTGGTTCTTTAGGATACATCCAAAGGTTGATGATGGAGAGAAAGCAGTTTTAGTTGATCACACGCTTCTGTGTTTAAGGAAAGAGCTAAATCAACTGAGCATTGGTGAAATCACATTAGGTTGATCTACGTTATTTATGTTCATATAGTGTTTTTGTTCTTTGGAAGGAGTTTATCTGCATTTAACAACTTATTAAACTTGAGAAGATTTTCAGTCATCCTGGTAATAGCCATTTCAAAAAAGACATAGACAGGTATGGGGTAATGCTGGCAAGGGCGGAGCTAGATGGGGGGCCATGGCCACCCCTGTGGCCCCCCCTACCATTTATTCCCTATAATACAGACGGTGGCAGCAGTAATACTCTCAAGTGGAATATTCTAACTTATTTAACATTTTAATTTTCTATATCTAAACAAAAACCTGACAACAAAAACCTTGTGGTTAATTCTGCACATAAATATACTAACATTAAAGATAAATACAGAATTCATGCTCTTTTCAGAACTAAATGTAGTTTAATATTGGGTAAAGAGAAAATGATGTCTCTGCAAGTCATCTAGGAATCTTCACTGAAATCAGAGATAAATGACTACTTTAATATTAAGTAATCTATTTAATGTAGGTATTACATATTTACATGTTTTAACATGTAAATACCGGTATAATTTTTATGCTGAATGATTCTTAATGAAAGTAGGTAAGTAATGACAATGAATAAGATGTTCACCCCAGAACTCAACTACAGCTTTAATTTAGACAGCATCGATGTTTAAATATATGCATTTATTTGTTAGCAAAGGCTGTAGGAAAGTATAGTTTGTCTTTATTTAGAAAATATGGATGTTTTGCTCGTTTATTTTCCTTTTGGAACGATGTAGATTGACTCTGAGGTTCTGGTACCTATCCGCTTTCGTCACCCATCAGTGTATATTGGTTATTCCCTGGCCACCCTTATTAAAATGTTCTGGCTGCGCCTCTGATTGAACAAAGAACCCAAATGATCCTCATTCCAAAGGGGCAGACCCATACGTCAGGTTTTCTAAGCCAAAACAAGGCTTTGTTTTGTGTCCACTCTATAAAGCCTTGAACTCAACGCTATTTTATGACATTTTGAAATGAAAAAGCTTCCTGCATGGGAGGTGAAACGTCTTCAAACTTGGAAACAAAGTCCAGTGGATTGTTTTGTTTTTACTTTTTTGGAACATCTTATTAGGAAATAATATGGATTTAAATCAAATTCGTTTTTAATATTATTCCTTTTATTTAATCTTTTTTTATGGTTACAAAGCATTTTTTTTATCTAACTGAATTCAAATTTGAAAATGAATAAAAATCCAATCTAGCAGGAAAAAAACAACATATTAAGTGTTTAACTCCATACTTATTGTTACCTTTTTAAGGAACCCCAGAACTATTTGACTCATTACCAAACAGGCTTATAAATATTTTCTGAGCTCGCAGATCACAACTCTGGAGTTTTTCTAGTTTGCATATTAATTATATCAGCAGATGCTGATACAATAAATCATATCTGAAAATCAGGGATGAGGGAACATTTTTAAACACTGATGGATGTCAGGAAGACTGGGATTTACTCTGAAGTTATTTAAAAAAAACTGGAATCACTAAATATTTTGTGGGGGCAAACTAACGCTTTTCTGCACATTGAGCAAATAAAAGGATCAATTTTGGGCTATGTTATAATATTTGGGCTATTTTTTTAATGATTATAATCACATCTTTTTCTTCCATGTTTTTGCATTAGTATTTCTGCAGCAGGAATTATTGAGGAATCTCATTTGAGCATCACTGATAAATGTCAGCCTCTGTGTGACTCATTGGGATTTTCTTATATTTCAAAAACCATTAGATCATGTTGCCATTATGATTATTTTAGAAGTTGTAGATTAACGGTTTAGTAGTGATGTGTTACATCAAAGGTCCCCTTAGACACAAGTAGACTGGTACAGTCCCTCTGTTTGCAAACAAACGCCTTTTGATTAAATTATAAAATAATTTCCTACACTTTTGTTCAGTGTCATTGGTTAGTAAACCTTTCAGTAATT